CTTCTCCAGGGCCTGATAAGTGTAGTCCTCAACCCCACCAAAGAAACTTTTCTTTGCAATGGATGGAAACCATTACAGGAAACCACAACCAATCAAAACACAGTTGCAAAGTCCATTCTCATCTACAAAAAACAAAACTACCAACCCTGCACTTAAGGCTCAGATCAGCCTTACGAGTCTAAGTCTATACCCATAGCCTCACTGTGACTGCCTAAACTTAACTTATGAGCTGAACAAGGACAACAGCAGACATGCTAACATGGACAGAGGAGAGACCCTGAGGTCTCCACCCTACATAAAGAACTACCGGGAACTAAGGGATGCTGAGGAGAGAGGGAGAAAGTCTTTCTCAGTGAAGAGCATAGCTACTGGTTATCCAAAACCAAGTGGTCAGCCCTGAAACGTACATATGAGTACATTATACAGCCAGAGCTGGTGTTACTTAGAAATATATTTATGTGTGTATATATAAGCATGTAACAACAATTAAAAAAAAAAAAAAAAAGCCATGGTGGTGTGGTGGCACACACCTTTAAACCCAGCACTTAGGGGGCAGAGGCAGACAGATCTCTGTGAGTTCCAGGCCAGCCTGATCTACAAAGGGAATTCCAGGATAGCCAGAGCTGTATCACAGAGAAACCCTGTCTCAAAAAACAAAACAAACAAAACAAAGAGGCTATATATTTGCAAGAGAGCAAGGGGCATATGGGAAAGTTTGGAGGGAGGAAAGGGAAAGGGGAAATGATGTGATTATATTATAACCTCAAAAAAAAAAAAACCTAACTTTAAAAAATGATGCAATGAAAGTGCAATAAGTTAGACAGAATAAAAATCAAGAGTGAAAATAGAAAAGAAGAATATAATACTTGACTTAGACACACTAAAAGTCCTTGGTTCTTCTGATAAGCATCTGATTAGGTAACCCAAGACTCAGGGTATATGCTTTGGTCACTCAGTACAGCTTTTCCTTTTATGGCTTATAAAGAAATAATAACTAACTATTATTTTGATTTAAGTGGGGGGGATCACTGCTACAGCTGTGTATGACTTATGCCTTTGATCACAGCACCTGGGAGGCAGAGGAAGGCAGATCTCTGTGCGTTCCCAACCAGCTGGGGCTACATATTGAGACCCTATCTCACAAAAAGAGCAGACTCACTGCTCTTCCAGAGATGGTCCAAGTTTGATTCTCAGAACCCACATGGCAGCTCAAACTGCCTAAAACTAAAGTTCCAGGGCCTAAATCACATTGAGTACCCCAAAAAAGCAATACAAGTACCCTGTGTATAGCAGCGCTATGACAAAGCCAAACACACAGTACACACATCCCAGTACTCCAACTCTGGGTGGCAATAAATATGACACCTCCTATCAAAGCCCATTCAAAACCAGTAGAACTAGTTGCTGAGTAAAGCTTAAAGGATTGGCTAATCAAAACATTTTTGATGTGTAGAGAGAGGCTACAAAGTATTCTGGAAAAAAGGAACTATTTATTTACATTGTGGCCACAAACAAACAAACACCATAAAAAATCATCTTGGCCAGGGTGTGGTGGCTGGCGCGCGCGCACACACACACACACACACACACACACACACACACACACACACACACACACACACAAACACGCGCGCGCGCCTTTAATCCTAGCATTTGGGAGGCAAAAACAGGCAGGTCTCTGAGAATTTGAAGCCAGCCCAGTCAATATAGCATGTTCCAGGCCAACCAGGGCTATATAATGAGAAGGAAAAAAAAAAATTTTCTGTCTCAAAAAAATAAAACAATCGTCAAACAGCATTGTAATACCAAAATATTCCATAAGGAAGAGAAGTTCTGCTTACAATCTAAACGGACCAATTAGAAATTCCAAGAAAGTATAAAGAAAGTAACATATTAAAAACAAAAGCAATTCCTAAGTGAGAAGAAATCATTTTTGTACTGCTCATAAGTACTTTGATGACAACTCAAAGGCAGTGGCAATGTCTTAGATGGGGAAAACAACTTCTCCATAAGCACAAAAGGCCATTTTTAAAAACTCAGGGTGAGTTAGAATGCAAGGGGCTAGTCAGTTTCGACATCAGAGTACAAAGCCCTTTCTACTTTAGTGTGGGGACATTTTCAGCTCACAAGAGAAACTGGATAGGAGATGAACACAAATCTCAATGCTTGAGGAAGAACTCCAATTTTGCAAGACCCAATCTGGTAGCCATCACCATGGGTGGCCAGTCAACACTTGACTGAGCTACTAAAACCGGGGAACTGAATCTTCAATCATTTTATTTTGCAGTTCCTTTGTCGCCCCTTTAAATGGTCAAAAGCCAAAGTGCAGTACGTGGTTACCCTGTGGAAAACACACTACAATACTGAGGCTGCCTCAGATAGCTCAAATACAGAAACATTATCAGAGGCACAACTAAACTGCTAAACTAATTTTAACTAGGTAATAGATGCAATTCTAAGCACATTAGAAGGCTCCGATCAAAACAAACCTAGTGAAAAAGACATAAACCAAACATGAAGTAAAAGTAAATGGTGTGATGGATTGGGAAAGAATATTCAATCGAGGAAAGCTAGCACACTCAGACCACTTTCACTCATTAAGATCAATGAGGCACTAGGTACTTGAAAAAAAAAAAAAACCCAAGTCTTGGATATGGGTTCTCCCTGGGCCCACGTCCTCGCTACAGACCCCTGAACAAGCAATGGATCTTGCTGTATCTATAAAATAGGGATAGGAATGGCAGACTTCTTGCTACAGAAGACTCTATCAGATAAGATTAGAGATAAAGGAGCTTCAGAAATGAAAGTATTCTCTAAATTGCTATTTTTCAGGAATTCAAACAGGGTACAGTAAGTAATTGAGATGGCTTCACAAAAGAAGGCTGAGATGGGCTGACAATTTCAAGATAACCAAGAGATTCTACCATGCACAATTCAGCAGAGGTCATTGGCAGTTTGCTCATCTCCACAGATGTTGTAGATATATATAGTTTGATACTGCAGACTGGGAACCCCAGGCTCTACCTAACTGCCCCAAGAGAGCTGAAGAGCTATCTCAATAGAGCAAATTATAACTGGGAGGTTTTACAAGAGGCCTAGAGTCTAGTCTCCTGGATTTTGGTGCCTGCATAGCCTCTCCAGGTCAAACCCTTGAATACACCATTGTCCACTCCAGTTTCCTCATCTACAACAAAGGGTGCTACCTCGGAGTAGAGACACACATGGAGTTACTTTCCACTAAACTTCAATTCTTCAGCCTTCTGCTAAGGAGCCCAGCACAGTGTGCACTAACATTGTATGTGCTGTGCCCACTGCTCCACACCAGGTGCAGCAACCTGAATGCAGACACCAAGTCGAACACTGGGCAATCAACAGTCCTAACTCACTCCTACTGCAAGCCTGCACTGTGCCTACAGCACACTAAAAATGTTTCCTGGATTATCCTGGCTTCTTACCACAATCGGCTTTGTGGACCCTGGGGTTTCCCCATTTTCAAAATTCCTACTTCAAAAAGCCCAGAGAAATGAAAAAGAAAAACAACAAAAAGAACCACTGAGTATAGTGGCACATGCTGTTAATCCCAGCATTTGGGAGGCAGAAGCAGGTAGATCTCTGAGGCCAACCTGGTCTATGTAGGGAATTCCAGGCAATGCAAAATAAATAGTGAGGCCCTGTCCTAAAGCAAAAACAAAAGCAAACTACATACAGTGGCACATGATAAAGCCACCATCTCCATTTTCTACAGAAGGAAACTTTCAAATAGATGTCAGAAACAACTTGCTATTAAGTGTCCAACACAGGGCCTGGAAAGTAACAGGCAGAGAGCTCACTCAATGAACATCACATTCTGAGTCTGAATTTAGTGGCAAGTGCAGAAGGCTCCCCAATTTACAGGGCTGTTCTGAAGACTGTGGGCAGTGACTGACATGGAGTAGAAGCTTTGTAAGTACACTAACTTTGTGTCCGTTTTACAGGTAAGAATACACAGACACAGGGCTATGAAGAAACATGCCCAATTTACTAAGCTAGAAAGTGTTTGCACCAGGTCTCAGTGTAGAGTGTCCGACCAGAGGCCGATGGATCTTACTCCAAATGCCCCCAACAGGTTCTGGTGCATAATGCTCCCAGCTCCAAGCACAGCCAAAATTTAAAAAACAAAACAAACGAAAAACCTGTCGCCAAGTGTGTGTGTGTGTGTGTGTGTGTGTGTGTGGTGAGGGGCGGTGCTGAGGAGAAAAGCAGCTTAATTAACTCCAAGTCCGGACATTTGAGCCTTGGAACCTCAGATAAATGTCTTCTACCCTTACTGGGCCTCAGTTTCCCTCTCCAAGAAATGCAATAACATTGTCTCCAATCTCAGAGACCCGGGCCTGCAAAGCTAGAGGGGCCTGGGGAACACAGCCACGGGAGAGCCCAGGGGTGGGGGTGATCACCTTTGCGGAGCTCGCGGTGCCACACGGAGACGATAGGTCCTGCGTGCTTGCGGTGGTGGATGAGCCACAGGGACAGGGTCTGCACGCTCTGCTGAGAGTTGCTCAGCTCTGAAAGCTTCTTTTCCAGCGCTGACTCTGAGAAGGAGGACATGGTGGCGACGGTGAGGAGCGGCCTGGGCCACCCGGTGAGACGGGGAGATCGACCGCACTCGGCCCAGGCCTCCCCTGACAGGCTGCGTGGCTCTCCGCCGACTGACAGACAGCTAGGGGTATCAGGCTGGGGGAGGGGACAGGTCTCCGCAGTAACAGCCACCCGCGCCGCCGCCACAAGATGGCCACCCGACCTCTCACCCCGCCGCCACGGGGTCAAAGGGCAAGGGCCACAGCCGGGCGCCGAGAGGCTTTGGAGCCGGAGGAAAACGATCCTTGGGAGGCAGCAGTTTCCTTGGGCCTCGCTCAGGGCACTTCGAAAGGCGCAGGCCGTGGAAACAATTCCAGGTCCTCGGTCACCGAAAGGCGCTTTAACCGCTCGCGCCCGCGCGCCGGCGCAGTAAGCCTCACGGAACCCTTTCTCCCGCTCCGCAGAACCTTTCTGGCGCGGCGCGGCGCTCTACTTATTCGTCACTTCCGTCTAGGCGCAGGAGGCGGGAGAGTGAGGGAAAGACTGGAAGACGAGGTAAGAGTGGCGGGAGCGAGAGGGAGTTCAGCAGTTTAGAAGCATCCAGAAGCGAGTGGATTCTGAGGGGACATTGAGGCAGAAAGCGCGGGGCCTGGGTGTGGGAAGGGCCGCGTCGCTCAGGTGGCTGGCCCAGGCCACAATGCCCCTCCGCGCCTGGTGCGCGCACACACACCCCTCCCCCCTGGTCCCCCCCCCCCCCCCGCGCTCCTCTGGTTCCTTCAAGACACGTACCCTTTGCAGATCTCCACACCTTCCCTCTTGTTCTGTCTTCGGAAGTGATGTCCCTTTCCTCACCTGAGACTCCGGCTCAATTGCTTGCTTAAATCATGGAATTACATCCTCTGTTGTATCGAAAATGGCTCCAAGGGTTAGAGGTTTTGCTGTTCCAGAATGAGGACCTGAGTTCCCATCCCAGTACTCATTTAAAAGCCCACGTTGGTGGGCCAGGTCTGTTAACTCCATTGCTATGGGGCTGAGGCAGGAAGATCCCAAGAGTTTTCTAGTTGCCAGCTTAACTCCAGGTTCAATGAAAGACCCAGTCTCAAAGGAATAAGATGGAGAGCGATTGAGCCAGGACATCTGACATCTTCCTCTGGCCTCAGTACCTACAACTTCCCTAATGCTTGTTAGTTTTTTTATTTGTGGGGCCAGCCTAGCCCGGAAGACATTCCTATAGTCAATGCCTGGTTTTCTTAATTGCTTTGTTCCTGGTATACATGCTTTGACCCCTCACCTGGACTACATCACGATCATAGCTAGCACAGTGAGAAATTGCTGTGTTAGACACTTTTCAAAGACTCATGGCTTAACAAACGAGGAAAGAAAAGGTTAGAGAAGTATAGTGAGCACGTAAGTTCCAAAACCACATAGCTAAGATCTGAGTGAAGAAAGTGTATCTTAGGGTGTCCCAGCATATGGGATCAAAGCTGAGTTCACAGCTGATTGAATGAATTAACAAAAGTCAACACCTACTTTTGAACTAGCTGTGGTGGTGCACCTTTAATCCCAGCACTTGGGAGGCAAAGGCTGGTGGATCTCTGGGAGTTCGATGCCAGCCTAGACTATATCGTGAACTCTAGTCCAGCTAGAACTACAGTAAGACCCTGCCTTTAAAAAAAAAAAAAAAAAAAAAAAAAAAAAAGGCTAGGGCTTTTGAGATTTCATCTAAACAATGGCTGAGTATTTATGAACAGTCATGTACTAAGTACCCTTGTACTGAATCTTATGTATCCATCACATTACTACTTCTAAATCTCAATCCTTAACAACAGTGCTCTGGAGTGGGGATTGTCATCACCATTTGATAATGAGAACAAATAAAACTATCAGAAGTTGCTCAGGCATAGCAAGAAAATGGCAAAACTAGGATTCAATCGAGGTCGCCTGATCCCAAGTTCTCCACCTTAGCCAAAGGTTCTTTCATTCAATAAATCATTTTTGAGCACCTGTGTCTGAAGCACTGTTTCTAGGCAAACATGAAACATCCCTATCCTTGGGAGCTTACCTTCTGCTAGAGAAGGTAGAAAACAGATATGAAAATATAAAATGAATCAAAAATGATGAGGGCTTTGCGTAAAAATCCAGGAAGCCAAGGGGAGTAGAGAATACATGGGGGTTGGGAAATATATAAGTTGGTCACATAGGAATGTATTATATGTGCCCTTCAGAGAGGATAAAGTAAATATTTGGTCAGCTTGCAAAGAATTAGACTTAAGCCGTCTTTCCAGGTATCAAGAAAGCCAACTTCAAACCTTTGCAATTTTGAGGAGTAGAAAAGATGCTGTAACCAGAGTGGTAGAAATCAGAAGGGTAGCTAGACATGAACCCAGAAGAGTATGGAAGAACCATGTCACATGGGCACATGAAGGCACAAGTAAGGATTTAACGATTCTCTGAATGGACAGTAGCAATTGAAGGCAGAGCATTTTATTCCACTGTATTTTCTTGCACTCTATTGTTACATTTGCATAACCCAGGTGAAAGGATTAAAAGGATGACTCAGACCAGGGTTGTACCATTGGAGGAAGTAGGAAAAGGATGGAATATGAAGATATTTTACAGGAAGAGATAACAGGATCTGCTGGCAGGCTGTGTTTGGGCATGAAAGAAGACAAGGATTGAGGTGGCCCCAATACTGAAAAGCAACTAGAGGGATGGAATTTCTGTTTACTGAGTTAAAAGGGGGGAGGGGAGATAGATAGGGAGAGAGAGAGAGAGAAGCAATTGGAGGGGGGCTGAAAAGGACAGGGTGAACATGTTTGAAAATACTTATCTGGGAACCAATCACTGGTCAGTGTCTGGGGAACAGGTTCCAGGATACTTGCACCACCACACAGGTGCCACATATCTCTTAATTCATGTATAGTACAATGTAAATGATTTGTTAGAGTTGTTACATGGGGCTGGGAGGTGGCAGTGCATTCAGGCAGAGCTCTATGAGTTTAATAAAAGCCTGATCTACAGAGTGAGTTCCAGGACAGCCAGGGCTACACAGAGAAACTCTGTCTCAAATAACAACAAAGTTGTTACACAGGTTTTTAAAGAATAAATAACACTAAGAAGCAGAGTACATATTCAGTACAATTGCAGGCTTTTTTTTTCTTTTTAACCAAATATTTTTGGTCTGTGCTTGGTTGAATTGGTGGTTTAGAGCTCACAGGTACAGAGGGCTACCTGTCTGTAGATACATAGGCAATTGAACTTATCAGCCTGGAGTTCAAGAGCAAGTTCTGGGCTACAGATAAAAATGTAAGAGTCCTAAGGGAGAAGGTGCAGAAAGAGGCTGAGGCTTAGGACAGGTTACCCTTGAGAGGTCCGGAAGATGTAGGTGATGCGATTATGCAACTTAGCTTCTTTACTCTACATTCTAGGGGTTGATGACCAAGTCCTGAGCCAGCCTTGAATCTTCAGAACAACTTCGCTTTGATGTAACCTATAGCTTTTTATGTACTGCTAAAGTGGGTATCCTGTTATTTAGTTTAGAGTTTGTGTATGCAGACATGAAGGAAATTACTCTTTAGGTTTTTGTTGTTGCTGCTTACGTTAATTAATTTTGTGTGTGTGCGTTCACACATGCATGCCTAGCACTCTGTGGCTGTTGGGACAGTTTGCAGGAGTTGGTTCTCTCCTTCCACCATGTGGGGCCTGGGATGGAATTCAGGTTGTCAGGCTTGGTATAAGCACCTCTACCCACTGAGCCATTTCTTCAGTAACCCTACCCCCTTAAACACCTTAAAATGTTTTTGTAAATGTTTATTTATTTTGTGTGTTTATGCGTATGTAGTGTATTGTGTGTGTGCCCACGTGCATGCCCATGTTGAGATCAGAAAACAGCTTTTCAGAGTAAGGTCACTCCTACCACGTGGGGCTGGAAAACTCACATTGTCAGGCTTGATGGAAGTGCTTTTGCCTGCTGAGCCTTCTTACTGTCTAGATCCCTAGATTCACAGAGATCCTCCTGCCTCTGCCTCCCAAGTACTGGAATTAAAGCCTGGCCCTGGCCTTGGTCTTTAGTTGTATGCCAGCATCCTACTGACTTCAGAAAATGGGAAGTGTTTCTTCCATTTCTCTTTCTATATTGTGCAAAATCAGAGTTTATTCATCTCTAAATGTTGGTTAAAATTTGGTAGTGAATTCTTTTTCTCTTTTTTGGTGAAGTTTTTAGTGACAAACTTGTTTTCCACAAAAGTTGCAAAACTTCTTCGGCAGTCTTTCCTAATATGTAACTGCAGTGATTAGATTTAAACCACTTGGTCTGTGCTGTGGTTGGGATTTGGCTGGAGGGTCCTCTAGTGCATTGGGTATTGAAACTTAATGTTCATTGTGGAGCGATAAAAGAGTGGGCACTTTGGCACTTAGAGGTATGGCCTTTGGGGAACAGCTGCAATTATTAACAATTAAGGATGTTAAAGTGGAGCTCCCTTGATTGAATGCTTTATATGATAAGGAGAATACCAGAATCTTGCACGCACATATGCGCTCCCTGTCTTTTGTCAAGACCATCACCTAGCACAGTCCTTAGACCTTGTACCTCTATAGCTATGAGCCAGAATAAGGTAGTCAGCCTCTCTCTCTCTCTCTCTCTCTCTCTCTCTCCCTCCCTGTGTGTGTGTTATAGTTGTATAATCTTATTAGAAACTGAAATGTGCATCTGTTGAACAACATGAATGGTTAATCGTAACTGCAGACCTGCTATATTCTAATATGGATCATTTATAAATGCAGTTTTTAATCTTTGTGTATGGTGTATGTGTATGGCTGTTACGTGTGTATGAATTTTAGTGTAGTGTGCCACAGCATGCATATGGAAATCAGAGGACAATCTCAGATGACAGCCTTTGTCTTCCACCTTGAGATAGGAGTCTCTTGTGGTTTGCAGCAGGGTCTCTTAGTTGTTTGCTGCTGTATTGACCAGGCTAGCTGGCCTGAGAGTTCCAGGGAGTCTCCTGTCTACCTCCAATCTCGACGTAGAAGCATTGTAATTACATACAGATGCTGCTATTGTTCCCAGCTTTACATGGTGCTGGGGATTTAAACTTGGGTTCTTGTGCATGCACACTAAGTGCTTTTCCCACTAAGCCACCACCTCTGTTCTTAATGCACTTTCATTTGGAAAGCTTCTGCCCATTTTTGTCTATACAATTTCACAACTTTACTGAGGGGAATTTATGTGCATAAGTCTGAAAAGAGTACAAATTTATGGTGTGGTGAATGCTTTCTGAGTTACTATCAAAAACTGCCATGACTGAACCTTTACATTGTTCCTTTTAAAAAAAGATTTATTGTATTTTTTATTTCTGTGTATTTGGTGAGAGGGTAATATACACATATGAGTGAAGGTGTCTGCAGAAGCCAGAAAGAAATGTTGGATTCCCTGGAGCTGGAGTTAGAGGTGTTTGTGAGCTATCGGATGTGGGTCCTGGGAGCAGAACCCAGGTCCTCTGCAAGAAAAGCAAGAGTGCTCTTAACTGCTGAACTATCTCTCCAATCTTCATTGT